AGGTATTTATATATAGGAGCAGAAAGGAGCGCTGGTGATACAACAGTTAGTGCTTAGCTTAGATAGGTTTGGACCTATCTGGGGCTCTGAGGGAGAAAGACCTGGTGATCTGCACCTGTAAAAACTTATGGGATGTTTCTGCTCTGTCACATGGCGTTACTATGAGTTGAAAATCGGCTCAGTGCCACCTAACGACAACAACATAAGTAGTTGTTGTTGTTGTGTGCCATCGAGTCGGACCCGACTCATAGTGACCCCTCCTTGGGTTTCCGAGGTGGTATCACTATGGAAGTACATTACCCAACCTTCCTTCCAAGGAGTGGCGGTGGGTTTGAACCACCGGCCTTCTGGTTAGCAGTCAAGTGCCTTAGGCACTATGCTACCAGAGCTCCCTAACAACATAGGAACAGAATCTAATTCAGTTAAGGAGATGGAGGGTGAGAAGTAGGCATTGACCAAGCTTTCCAGAGGTGGAAATTTTTGACTCAGATCTTCAAGAAAAGGTAAAAGCCAGCCAGGGAGAAAGGAAAGCCATTCCAGATTCTTATTCCTTAGCCAAGTATGTTGTTTTTCAGATAACTTGTACCTTGGTATTAGGTGTCATGAGATGTATTAGTGTATGGCCACTGTCCTGAAAATGCTTGGATTCTTAATTAGTGGGGCAGTTAGGTGGGGCATATGGTTTAGTTAGCGAATAATATGGAAGCAGCATGTTATGAGCCTATAATTGCTATAGAAACTTAGATGAGGATTATTGAAAGACTAATAAAGGCTAAATTAGTTAAAAATGAGAAATTTAGATTTGGTATTACAGGAAATAGGGAGCCATTAGAAGTTTTTGGGCATAATGATTTGAAAGCAGTGCTTATAGATTTCTCTTGGAGTGTGTGCTTGGACTGGAGATGGTTGGAGGAGTGACAAGAAATCAGAGTCCAGGAGGCCAGCTAGGAAGCTGTTGGAATGAGGTGAGGTAATGAGGGCCTGACATTTCTTAACCAGATTTCCATAACCAGATTCCCCAGTGCCTCCCGTGCTGTTTTTAAATTTACCACCATCTGTTCTCTTATACAAGTGAACTTCTGTCATCACCATTCCACTAATAGGTTTCTTTCTAAAGTTACTGGTGATCTGTCTGTCCAAATCTAATGTCTTTTGTATTCTCAACGCTTAATGGAGAAACACCGCAGCTACCAGCCCAAGCCTGTTTCTCTCTTTTTCCTTCTCTTTCTCTCTCTCTCACATGCACACAAAATATAGAACACTTCATAAATTGCAAACAAAACAGAAGTGCTACTTTTTCAGAGTTTAAATTTAAAAGATATGTTTTATAGTATGCTTAAAGTCTGCTCTAACATAACTGATGAACATAACACAACAGTGGAATAAGAGAGAGGCATGCTTATGACTGGTTTCAAATTTTTGCTCATGATGTCTCTGAAAACTAGGGACTTTTTCCTTTCAAGCCTATTTATATCTCAACTTTTCTTCAAGACTTAGCCGAAGTTCTCCTTTCTCCAACCCTCCAGGCTCCAATGCATATTTTTCTCTTCCTTTTCTGAACCTTTACAACACCTAGAGTCCAACCGTACACTTTTATACAGCTCTATCTTATGTCTAAGGTGCATTGTTGGTATAGTGGTTAAGGTGTTTGGCTGCTACCGAAAAGGTCACTAGTTCGAACTCATCAGCTGCACCGTGGAAGAAAGATGAGGCAGTCTGCTTCCATAAAGATTTACAGCCTTGGAAACCCAGTGTGTGTGTGGGGGGTCGTCACTATGAGTCAGAGTCGGCTCTGTGGCCTTGAGTTTGATTTTGGTTTTTTATGTCTGGGAGACAGATTATATGATACTTCCTTTGTGTGTGAGTGTGTGTGTATGTGTGTCTTACCCTTGCATAGCCCTGTACATGTGTAATTATACATTTTTGTAAATTAAATATGTTGTTGTTATGTACTGTTGAGTCGGACCCGACTCATTGCAACCCCCCCCTTGGGTTTCCAAGGCAGTATCACTATGGAAGTAGATTGCCCCATCTTCCTTCCGAGGAGTGGCTGGTGGGTTTGAACTGCCAGCCTTCTGGTTAGCAGTCAAGTGTCTTAGGCACTATGCTACCAGAGCTCCGTAAATTAAATATATACTAAATACCTACTTATTGTATGTTCACGTTACTGAAACTATCATAAAGTCTCAATTGCTGCCATTTGTGGAAGGGAACAGAAGGTATAGATGACTCAGTAGGGACATCTGCAGTATCAATTATCTTCCAATTTGGAACATGTTTTTGTATTAACTTTGAAAATGCACGTGACTAGTTGCTTTGGAAATTTGAACAAAATAAAGCTACTCAGTAGAGATTTGATTGAGGCAAATAGGATGACAACATGGTTTAATAATAGCCAATGTTGATTGAATGAAATGGGAGTAACAATAGCAGCAACCACCACCACCAGTAACTAACATTTATTGAATTATTTACTATGTGTTGGGCAGTATTTTTGAGTACTTTACCTTGGTGAGGTAGGTGTTATTATTATCCTCATTTTACAGATGAGATATGGGACAAAAACTGCTGGATTAGGCATCAGGAGATCTGGGTTCTGCTCTTAGCTCTACTATTAATTACCTGCATTGATTTGGGCAATCTTTTTTTACTTCAGTGACTTCAGTTTTACATTTTTGGCTTGAAAGAATTAGTCTCTAAGCTCTAGGGTACTTTCTCCACTCTTTTAACATTATGTGATCTCTAAATTGTCCTGTCTTCTTACTCCACAATTCCTTATAATTTACTTGATTTTGGGAATAAGCATTTCTGGCTGAAATTATAGAGGAAGATACCAAAACCAAACCAAACACACTGCCGTCCAGTCGGACCCGACTAAAAGCGACTGCTCCTTGGGTTTCCGAGGTGGTATCACTACAGAACTAGATTGCCCAACCTTCCTTCTGGGGAGTGGCTGGTGGGTTTGAACCGCCAGCCTTCTGGTTAGCAGTCAAATGCTTTAGGCACTACGCCACCAGAGCTCCCTATAGAGGAAGATAGTTAAGTTTTTTTTTTTTTTTGTAATTAAATCTGAAGGTTCTGTGTAGAGGAATTAAACATTCAGATTTCAGAGGAATGCATATGATAGAAATGCAGGGAATTTGAGGAAATGAGAAAAATAAAACTGTAGACTTGAGTTTTCTGTAAAACAACATAATAGGATTCTATTTGCTAGCAGTGCAGATAGACTCTAATGACTGTTTGGATTTATAATCTCTGTTGTTTAATCTGGTTTACTTTATAGTACATTAGTACCCTCCTAAGATTCTCCTAGAGTAATATTATTAACATTTATTGGATGCTTAATTCTGTGCATGTGTTACCATATTTTATTCTCAAAGTAATATTTTAATTGTAGTACTGTTATTCTTTCATTTTACAGATGAAGAAGCTGGGGTTTAAAGACTAATTAACGTTTTCGTAGTCCCACACTGGTAGAATCAGTATATGAACTCTGGTTGGCCTGACTCCAAAGCTTGTGTTCCTTATCAGTTCCACGTTGCCTCCCAGAAGTTCAAATCCTAACCACATATCCCAGGTTTGCTTTTTTTGGTAGCCACCATTAGGGATGGGGCCTGTATGGAATTTTCTCAGCCCGAATTTTTTTTCCTTTTGACTGAGGTACTTGAAATTACTTAGTATTTTTTCTTTATTTTGATTTCACTTAGAAGTTTTTCATTCTTTGCTTCTGCTTCTTTGATCTTGGGATAGAAGGGCTTGTAAACCCTCTGGCGAAGGGTAGCAATTAGTGTGAAGTGTCAAGCTTTGTTTTTATATCCTGATCTTCAGTTCCTAGAGCTGCTGCTGCCCTTCTCAAGAACATGCATCAATCTGGCAGATTTTGCTTTTCTTTTTTATTTGGGTAGTAATGGTTTTAATTTTTCAGCCTTGGAGAGAAATACATTACAGAACCCAGATGACTGGAAGTTAGCCCAATCAATCCTGTACTCAAGCTTTTAATGCTGCTGCTGTTGCTGTCCATTTATGTGATTTAATATCTTAGTACCTATACTCCCTGATCTTTAGTTAGTTTTCTTAAGCTTATTCCTTGACTTGCTTTTAAAAAGATTTATTGCCTGGTACTGCCTGTCCTCTTTTTCTCTTGCTCTTCAGTGCCCTTGAGTTGACATTCCTTTTTTTTTGGTCAACTCCCCCAGTGCTTGTCTACTTGTATTCTTGTTTTACTCTTCATGGAATCTCCCACCTGCTCAGCTCTATCTTCTTTCCTCTGATCAAATTCCTGTGTGCATTTCTTAATTACTTCTCTTACCTCTTCCCTCTACCTGACTTTTGGTATTCCTTTGTTTGTATGACTTCCTTAAAATTTTTGTAAAAGAAATGCCAGATGTACAGGCTTACGTTTGTAAAGGTCTTGTAGTGTTGGTTAAAGGCGCCCCAGTGGCACAGTGGTTTAAAGCACTCAGCTGGTAACTGAAAGGTCTTCGGTTGGAACCCACCAGCTGCTCCATGGGAGAAAGATGGGGCAGTCTGCTTCTGTAAAGATTATAGCCTTGGAAACCCATTGGGGCAGTTCTGCTCTGTCCTGTAGAGTTACTGAGTTGACAGCAGCAGGTTTGGGTTTTGGTTGGTGGTGAATGAGGAGCTAGTCTGTAGATTGGGTATTTCATACCAACATCCTGTTGCCCTATTGAAAGAGGCAGACCATCTTTGTTAGAAAGATTGGCATCACAATAAATTTATGTATGTATATATATTGTTCTTTATCTTAAACATTTTAAAACCAAGTTTGTTGTGTTTTAGAAAGGAGAAATATTAAGAAAAAAGATTGGAAATGTTGATCCCTTAAATATTGATTTGGTCATTAACATACTCAATCTTTTTCCTCCAGATGTAACTCAGGCTTTCCCTCACTTTGGAACTCCTAGATTTGTGAATATTGGATATTTTGAGAAGCAGGGGTTCTTTCCTTGATATTGACTAAGGAGTCTATTTACCTTCAGGATGACATCTGAACTGGAGAGCAGCTTAACATCTATGGACTGGTTACCACAGCTTACCATGAGAGCAGCCATCCAAAAATCTGATGCTACACAAAATGCACATGGAACAGGGATTTCCAAGAAGAATGCACTCCTTGACCCAAATACAACTCTGGACCAGGAGGAAGTCCAACAGCACAAAGATGGGAAACCTCCATACAGTTATGCCAGCCTCATTACATTTGCAATTAATAGCTCACCCAAAAAGAAAATGACTCTAAGTGAGATTTACCAGTGGATTTGTGATAACTTCCCATATTATAGAGAGGCTGGCAGTGGTTGGAAGGTAAGGATTTTATTTAAATTATTATACTTTTTTGCAGTAAGCAATAGCAATATTGACTTCTATTGAAAATAAAGCTTTGTGGAAGATCACATAATTGAAGATGAAATTCTGAATAGTAGTCATTTTTAGGATGTCATAAAATTGAATGCTTTTGATTTAGGTAAATACCTGTATTTTTGTAAAATACTAGTTTTTTATAGCTTTATTATGTTATGGGATAGACATGGCATGAAGTAAGAGCAGAGATAAGGTAATATTTATTGGAAAACACTGCCTGTACTTTAGGTAAGTTGATAGTGAATTTAAGGTGTGTGTGTGTGTGTACACATACATACATACATACATACATACATGGTAGCTTTGGTGGCGTAGTGCCTAAGGCATTTGACTGTTAACCAGAAGGCTGGAGTTTCAGACCCACCAGCCACTCCTTGGAAGGAAAGTTGGGCAATCCACTTCCATAGTGAGAACCGCCTCGGAAACCCAAGGAGGCGTTGCTGTGAGTTGGATCCAACTCAACAGCAGTGAGTTTTTTTGTTTTGTTTTATTTTATATATATGTACACAAACACACAAATATAGATATAGATATAAATTAACTGTATTTATATATAAATGTGTGTATATATATAAATACTATGTATAATTTAGGCGCTCTGGTAGCATAGTGCCTAAGGCACTTGACTGCTAACCAGAAGGCTGGCGGTTCAAACCCACCAGCCACTCTTCAGAAGGAAGGTTGGGCAATCCACTTCCGTAGTGATATCGCCTCAGAAACTCATGGAGGGGTTGCTATGAGTCAAATCTGACTCAATGGAAAATAACAACAATGACAAACATATAATTTATAATTTACATGTAAATTATATACAGTATTAGCTGCAATATATATATATATATTGCAGCTAAAAACTGTCTTTGTCACCCAGGATTTGTTTTTTTTTGAACTTTTTATTTTGGAAAAAAATTTTGATTACAGAAGCTATAAAAACAGTACAGAAGGTTCCCCTATATCAGATTTCATCAGTTTTTCCCTAATACCTTTTTGTGTTCCAGATTCCAATCCAAGATCTCACATTGTATTTAGTTGTCATGTCTCCTCAGTCTCCACTAATGTGTGACAGTGTATTTTATAACTTTGACACTTTTCTTTAAGAGTACTTGGCAGATATTTTGTAGAACTTCCTTTACTTGGGTTTGTCCAATGTTTTTTCGTGGTTAGATTGAAATAATGCATTTCTGGAGAGAAATCATATCAGGGCTACATGTCTTACAGTAGGCTGTGCTAACTTTGATCCTTTGGATAAAGTGCTCTTTCTTTACAATAGAGTTACTTTTTATCTCTTTCTTTTTTTTTTTTCAAATTGTGATTTAGGTGAAAGTTTACAGAGCAAATTCACTTTCCATACAGCAGTTCACATACACTTTGTCTCATGACATTGACTATAATTTCCCATAATGCAACAGCTCCCCTTCCACTTCCCTCCTGATAGTTACCTCTTCCCTATGTCCATCCCTCCAAGCATTCCTGCCCCAGGAGCTGTCTCCCTGTGCATAAACAGCCCTTCTTTCTTCTGTGATTGTTCCTTCCAAGGAGTGTATCTACCTCAGGTAAATGTTCACCTCATATGCCTGTCTTTTGTGTGGCTGGAAGCCACAGATGTGGGTTCAGTTCCAGACCTGAAGGGCAGTCAGGGGTCATAGTCTCAGTTGTTCCACCAGGCTCTATCAGACCAGCAAACCTGGTCCCTTTTTTCCCCCCCGAAATGATTTTGAGTTTTGTTCCCCATTGTTCTCCCTTCGTATCCAGGATCTCCTACATAGATCCCCCTCCCGAGTGGTTGACAGTGGTAGCCGGGCACCATTTAGTTTTTCTGGTCTCAGAGTCATATAGGCTGCGGATCACATGGTGTCTAGTTGCTAGGACTAATTCTTTCCATGAATCTTTGGTTTTCTTCATTCTTTTTTGCTCTGGACAAGAAGAGACCCATCGTTGGATCTAGATGGCTGCTTGCAAACTTTTAAGATCCTAGTTGCTACTCGCCAAAGTAGGAGGTGGAACAGTGTTTTGTGTAGTATGTTATGCCAATTGAGCTTGATGTCCCCTGTGTTTTTCTCTCTTTTTAAATAATATTTTGGGGGATATACTTTAAGGGCCTGTATATACTCTGTTTCTCTTTAAACTTTTGCCTATTAATTTAGCATTTATTGGCAGATCTTAACTGTAGCAATTTTTTAAAACATTTATTTTTTGGTGTTGAGAATATACACAGCAGTACATATACCAGTGCAATGCAATAATTTTTTATATACAGTTTGGTGACACTGATTACATTCTTGAAGTTGTACAGCTATTTTCATTCTCCTTTTGTGAATTGTTACTCCTTCATTAACATTAACTCATTGGCCCCTAAGTTTCATTGTATCAGTTTTTACTATGTTTTCTACTGGTGATTTTTCTCTTTCCCTTCATTCCTTCTGTGTTTGTTATGGAAATTTTTTTCTGAGGAAGAGTTGTCCCTTCTTCCCCTTTTATTTATTTATTTATTTATTTAATTCTAATATACGGGCTTATGAATCATTATTTTATTTTTTGGGCTGTTGTCCTGTACTGCCATTATTTATTCAAAATGTTTCAACTTTGGCCATTGGGAGCTTTTATACTTTGGCTCTTGTGTCTTTGCATCTTTTAATATGGCCTATCCTTTTTCTTCATTTTGTTTCGCACTTATTTTCTTTCTGGCACCTGAAGATCTTCCAGCCTCATCTTTACCTTTCCTGCCCCAGTCCTGGAATCAGTTACTTCTTCAAGGAACCCTGGTTCCTCATCTGAGCTTTTTGATGTACAAATTAGCTACTTACCTTATTTATGTTATACAACAGATAATCCCACTTTCTTTTATCTCTGTACATGTTATATTCATATTTTATATAGGAATTACATAGTTTTGTGCTGTGTGAAGTGTGTGTGTGTATGTGTGTAGGGTGGGAGGGAGTTTAGAGAGCATTATGCTTGCCATCAGATAGTAGTTACATCTCATTTTCTTCCTGCCTCAGCACCTTTGCCTTTTTTCTTTGAGTACATTTATTAAAGACCTTTACTGATTTACTGTGCACCAGTGATATGCCATGTACTGTGTCAAATAGTCAGGTGTTTTAAGGGAAGATATTGTGTGCTGCTGAACTTTTTGTATGTCTGCCTCTATTTTATGCTCTAACACTACGTTTCCATTTGTTGTTACGTGCCGTCGAGTCAGACCCAACTCATAGCGACCCCTCCTTGGGTTTCCGAGGCAATATCACTACGGAAGTAGACTGCCCAACCTTCCTACTGAGGAGTGGCTGGTGGGTTTGAACTGCCAGCCTCCTGGTTAGTAGTCAGATGCCTTAGGCACTATGCTACCAGAGCCATTTAGTAAACGTCAATAAATGGACGCATGAATACTAGTTCCAGCCTTTCTAAATTTCTTCTTTGCTATTGTCCTGTTACATACTTTTCCTTCTGCTCATTTCACCCTGCAAGCTATCCCCAGGAAGTAAACATTGGATTTCTTTCTTCCTTTTGTTTTTCTCTTTATTTTCTGCCTACAATTTCTCTTTCAACCTTTTTCCGTTTTCCATTATCTTATTTCTTTCTCAGCTTATATGCTACCTCTCTTCTCCCTACAGAATTAATCTCTTTTCTGTTTCTATAATACTTTAATAACACTGTCAGAACTTGCGGATTTTGCCCACAGATCTCATTTCATTAACAAATGCACAAATAATAGCTTCATTTATTATTTTCTATGTGCCAGGCACTGTACTAAGTGCTTATATCACTGTCTCCTTAAGCTACACAATAGCCTTATGAAATAGGTACTATTATTGTCCACATTTTAAAGGTTAAAAAACCAAGGCTTAAGAACATTAAGTAACTTTGCAGTCTCTCAGCTAGAGAGTGGTAGAGCCAAGATTTGTACCAGTTTTTATTAGATTTCTAAGCTTATGTTCTTAATAGGCACTAGGACAGGGCTTACTATTTTGTGAATACTCCGTAAGTATTTACTGAATTTAATTTGCCAGGATAATCTCTTTCTTAACTAGCTGACTCACTATAAGAAGTTGTTGTTAACAGTTCTCTTACTCACTTAGAATAAGGGTCCACTGTTACTGAATATTTCAGTGGAGGAAATATGTAATAAAATTCGATCCATAATCACATCATTCTAACCAAGTAGTAGTGATCATCTAAGCTGGGTTTTTTGGCGTTACCAATAGGCACTACAGTTCAGTAGATTCCTTTTGTCAAGATTTCGGATGAGAGAAGGCTTAGGATATTTTAATAAACCTGTTAGATGATGGGAAAAAATGATGTCAAGGAAGTAGAACTAAGGAGCTCTGGTGGTATAGTGGTTAAGACATTTGGCTGCTAACCAAAAGGTCAGTTGTTCAAACCCATCAGCTGCTTCATGGAAGAAAAATAAGATAGTCTGTTTCTGTAAGGATTTATAGCCTTGGAAACCCGGTTTGGGGTGTGTGTGTGTGTGTTTGTGTGTGTGTGTGTCTGTAAGTTGGAATCAACTCAGTGGCAGTGACTAGAGTAGAAATAGCCAAAATTTTGAATAAGTGGCTTGATATGGGTCCATATCATTGGTTGTCATTCTGAATGCCTACAGAGGCCAGTCAGGTAAAAGAAATGAGAAAGTCAAAAAGCAGGTGCTGAACTGATGAGTGCATGTTTAATATAAAGGATAAGCTGGACTATGGTCATTTGTTGCCCATTAGGGCATATGACGAGAGGTCTGGTGGCACAGCGTAAAGCATTCGGCTGCTAACCAAAAGTTTCGCACTCCAAACCCTCCAGCTGCTCCACAGGAGAAAGACGAGGCAGTCTGCTTATGTAAAAATTTACAACCTTAGAAACCCTATGGGATAGTTCTCCTCTGTCCTGTAGGCTTGGTATGAGTCAGAATTGACTAGATGGCAGTATGTTTGGTTTTTTAGGTTTAGGCATATGAC